GTAGTATGGGGTTATGTGAACCAGCATTCTTGGCCTTGACAGTCATAAAATCAAAATATTGATCAGCTCTGAGGGACACTGAGAATCACTACATCCCGCAGAGTCTAGATTCAGCCATGACTTAATTCCTATGTGAAAATAAACAAGCCCATCCATTTTGTTAGTGTGCAAATTGGCCTCCATCTTTAATAAGTGGTAGTATTACACATGTGCTAAAGAATTCTTTTGAAATGGGTCTATGACATTGTTGGCAGGTGTTTGACATTCCTATTTTATATACCTACACGCTCGGGGCCATGTAAACGTTTCTCAGGTGACAGGGTGTCAAGTGGGAAAGCCGAGAAGCCCAGCTGTGAGTAACCAAAATCTGTTGTGATGTCCCCGTTCCTCCTCCTCAGTCCTCAGGACGGGGACTCACCCCTGGGGCCTCTGCCAGACATCTGGGGTGCTTGTGTCATCCATGGCCACCATCATTTTGGGAGGTATGAACCAGCTGAGGAGACAGACTGTAGCAACGAAATAACTTCACAGTCGGGGGTCACAATAACATGACTGTATTAAAGGCACAGCATTGGGAAGGCTGGGTACCATGCTTTACGGGGAACTTAATGGCCTTTCTCGGACTAACTAGAAGGATGCCTTAGCCCATTATTCTGCAGCTATAACAGAACACTACAGACTGGGTAACTTATAAAACAACAGAAGTCTATTTGTCTCACAACATTGGAAGCTGGACTGCAACTGCCGAGAACCTTTGTGACAACTGAGTGTCAATTTGACATAATCTAGACTCACCTGCGAGGAGCCTCTCAAGGAGGGATTGTCTAGATCAGGTTGGCCTGGGGAGGGAGGGCGTGTCCTGACAATGTTAATGGATGTGGGAAGACCCAGCCCACTGTGCACCCTGACTGTAAGGAGTGGAGAAAGTTAGCTGAAGCTACGTGTGTGTATGCGTGTGCGTGTGCGTGTGTGTAGAGTCCAGGAGAGCTAATAGCCTCTCAGAGACCCCCATCTGCTACCCTGGCTGATTCTGAGGTTGTTTCCAGCATGTGGATGAGAGAGAGAGAAAGGGCCTGCTCAAGCCACAGCGGCTGACACGCAGGCACGGATTTGTGTCAGCTTTCCACAGGGAATCATTCTGTGGATCTGTGACCAAAACTCTGGCAACACATTCTACACGTTGCAGAAACCATTCCAAACTCTGAGGATGCTATCAGGTGGCACACATCTGGGTAAGGTGTGGCTGATGTCACAGAAGTGATCTCCTGCGACCACACAGTTTCCCCTTCAAGTCAGCTCTTCAGGACAAGGCATTTCTGCAGCCCACAGGTAAACCAAACATATGCGACAAGAGCCTGCCACCTACCCACACCCGTGACGGCTGCCCTGGGTCCTCACAGTCTCCTGTATCAAGCTACACGGTTAATGGTGTCCATTACTCGGTCCATGGGCTATATCTTAGAAAAACTATCTCAATGCAATGTGGGGCTGGCCTGGCAGGTGACTTGGTGACATCCCATTCAGCTGGGACCAGCCCACTTCTAGTAGACAACCTCTGACCCGCCTCTCCCCAAGCCGCGGCAGATGGTAAGTGCCCCTGCAAAGGTTCACAGTGTCTTCTTGACCACGCTGACCTTGCATCGCCCTGCTGACGGAGGGTCTCCACAGCCCATATTAAACCAATCCTGCAGCGTCTGGGAAGGTAAGATCCCAAATCAGCAGACCCACAGATGCTGCAAACTCGTGTTGTGTCTTTGGAGCCGGGCCTGCTCTGTCTGGGTTATGAAAAGTCTTATCTTCCCTGTTGCAAACAGCAGCTGCTTTGACCAAGTAACTCTAGAAGATAAATTGACCCGCCATGTTCTAAAATTCACAACCTAAGCAGCAATTTCTCAGGCCTCTTTTGTGGTCGTAGAAGGGGCACAAATTATTAATATCCAACTTATGCGGCAGTTGCTCACAAGCTGCGGATTCCAATGTGAAATTTCAATCTCCGCACAAGGACTGTGGGCCTGGGAGAGTCTACCTCTGGGAATCCCACACAGCCCTTGTCTAATTCAGGGCAGGGATGGTGAGGAACACTAACCCCCAGTGTAAACAGAGCAGGCATTCTTGCGACAGCGGTGATTAAGAGCCCGGTGGCATCCGCCAGACCTGCCTGTACGCTGTCCCTCCAAACTCTGGTTGCTCATGCGCCTGGACAGCTGTTTCCCTCCTCTACAGCCCTGCGAGTGTTAGCTTCATCATCTTAGCACCGTGGAGGGCCACCTGGGAAGACAGTCTCGATGAGGGATTGTCCACATTTGGTTGGCCTCTGAGTGCGTCTGTAGGAGACTATCTCAAGTTAATTTGTGTGGGGAAACTCAGCCCACCGGGGGAGGTACCATTCCCTAGACAGAGAGTTTCGAACTCTATAAAAGTAGAGAAACTGGGCTGGGCACATACAAGCAAGTGAGCACACGTGCACTCATTTCATGTTCTTGGCTGTGGATGCGATGCCATTGGCTCGCCGTAGTTCCTGCCTTGACGTCCTCACACTGGTGGACTGTGATCTGAAGTTACAAGAAGAAACAATTGCCTTGAAGTTACTTTCATTCTGAGTATTTTATCACTGCAGCAGACATTAAACTTGCCAAGGCCCCATGATCGATGACCACAGAAGAGGAAGCTTTTACATGGAGACCCTCACCAGATCCTTGAGAGCCAGCACCTTCTCAAGGAAGAATCAAGTTGTCGTCTCTCACAGAAGAAATCCCCCAAGACCCAGATGCAAGCAAAATTGCCTCGTCTAAGATATAATCCCAGGAGTGAAGAATCAAGTGGGGGGGGGGGGGAGAAAGTATTGTCTTAGAGAAAGTTCTCTAGAACAGAACCAATAGTGTGAGCTTAAATATGTGTCATATGTTACGTTTAATATGTTTAATAATCACACGCGTGCGCGCGCAGGCACACACACACACACACACACACACACACGTATGGAGAATTGACTAGATTGGCTCACACCGCAGAGGATAGTCAGCCCAACCGTATGCCTCCCAGACATACCACAGGCAGAACCTAATGGAGGTGGTTCCACAAGCTAGGTCCCCTCTCCTCAAGCCACTGTAGTTTGCGTAAGTTGGCAAAATGCAAGCAGCGTGCTTGCTCAGTGGGTGTTAACATTGCCTGTTACAGTTCAATGTGCCGTGTCCTGTCCCTTATCCGTTTGTCACCCATTCAACATGCAAGGTTTCTGTGTTTTAATTACATGCACACACACACACACACACACACACACACATTTGTGTGTAGGAAAGTGCATGTGTGCAGGTGCCCCAGGAGAACTCAGGTTCTCCATAAGAGCAAAACAAGGTCCATCTTCCCAGACCTGTATTGTTTTCTTTGGTGGGTTTGGGTTTAAGAAGTATTTGTCTGGACCACGTGCCCCACTCTCCCCCAAAATGTCCAGGAATAGATCCACTCACGTGCAGTTAACGGTCCTGCTTTTTTTTCTAGAAGTTTTAGGTGAGTTTAGTTGAGATCAGTGATCTATTCTGAATTCCTTCATCTACGGTGAGAGGCATGGATCATGGACTTTATCATGTCCGAAGGAGCAGCATCCTTTATTGAGAAGACTACCTGTTGGTGACCACATTTGGATGTATTTCTGAATGTCCTCTTCCGTTCCACTGATCTTCTTCATGCTCACACACACACACACACACACACACACACATACACACAGTGGGTTCATCATCACTATCTGTCTGGTTAGCTGCAGCTGTCAACTTGATGTACCATGAAGTTACCTAAGAAGGGAGTCTCAGTTGAGGGGCTGCCCAGACCAGACTGGCCTGTGGACATGTGTGTGAGTGATTGCTTTGATTGTTAATTGAGGCAGAAGGGCCCCGCCCACTCTGGCGGCACTGGATCCTAGGCAGTGGTCCTCGGCTCTATAAGAAAGCTAGAGGCCGGGCGTTGGTGGCGCACGCCTTTAGTCCCAGCACTCGGGAGGCAGAGGCAGGCAGATCTCTGAGTTGGAGGCTAGCCTGGTCTACAGAGAGAGCTCCAGGACAAGCTCCAAACAATACAGAGAAACCCTGTCTCGAAAAACAGAAAGAAAGAAAAAGAAAGCTAAAGTCTGTGAGGGAGGCAGTGCGCAGTGCTCCTCCATGGTCTCTGCTTCAAGCGCCTGTTAGAGATCCTGCCCTGACCTCCTTCAGTGATGAACTGTGACCTGGAAGTTGAAATTAACCCTTTCCTCCAGTGAGCTGTGTTGGTCAGAGTGTTTTGTCGCAGTGACAGGGCGAATCTAGCATAGCATTGCATTTGGTGGGTAAGTTGACCACCTTGTTATTTTGCAAAATCATTTTGGCTTTTCTAGTGTCTTTACATTTAAAATATATCTTGTCAGCTGGAATTGCACTGAATGCACAGATCAATATGGAGAGAATTATTGTGTAAATTAAAATCCAGTCACCTCAGTTTATGAACACCATGTATCTATTTACTTAGGATTCTTCATTTCATCAGTGTTGTGTAGTCTTTAGGATACATATTCCGGATATTTTTTCTGTTTAATTGGTACCTAAAATACTTTATATTTGGTATTTGGTATTTAAAATGCTGCTTTTAATTTCAATCATCTATTACTATTGAAGATGCTCTTTGACTTATACAACAGGCCACATTCCAAACAACCCATACTTCATTCTTTGCAAATATTGTAAATTGAGATTTTATTCCTAAATATTTATTTTAATTTTATGTTTACACTTGTATGTCCCTATACGCCATGTATATGTGCAGAGCCTGGAGTGACCAGAAGAGGGCATCAGGTCCTCAGGAGTTGGATGTACAGGTGGTTGTGAGCTGCTAGATATGGGTGCTGGGAACTGAACTCAGATCCTCTGCAAGAGCAGCCCCCTCTAATTGCTGAGCTATTTCTCCAGTTCATAAGCTGAAAATTAATTGAATCCACCTACATCACCAAACAGCACAGCTCAATCTGGACAAAATATGCTCAGAGTATTTATTTTAGCAGGCAGTTGGGTGACATTCCCCGCCCAATAGCCAGCTGGTGAGGCACTGGGTATCTCCTGTGATTTATCCACTATCGTTTGAAAAGTGAAACACAGAATGAAGGTCTGAACAAGCTTCACACGAGGATAGAGTCGGAAACGCTAGGTCCAAACATCAGGGCTCATTTTGTACAGCAAATAATTCCACACTCTCGTCAAAGCAAGACTGGCCAGGCCCACCTGCATGCAAAAGACAGAACGGTGTCTTGTGACATCTCTAAGCCCACAGAAGAAGCATTGCTGTTGTCATGAAAAGGACGACCATCTTTGCTCGCTTGTGGTTAGTTTTGACTTCTTAATTCTCTTCAGGTCTCTCTCTCTCTCTCTGCCTCCCCCCCCATTTTACCTCTGTCAGTATCTGTGTCTCCCCCCTCTCTCTTTCTATCCACTTCTCCCCTCCCCCACCCCGTGTGTGTGTGCACACGCACATATGCCTGTGTGGTACACACATACAATGTCATTTACTTCTAACACCACGTTCAGACCTAACCCAATCTCTTTCTACTTTCCAGAAAAGCTTGTTAAGCAGCACTCACATTCGGAGCCCCACCCCACATGTCAGCGCTAAGTGTATTGACTGGTAACTGACCTCGGCCATTGCCTCTTCATTTATTAACGATCATGCCCAGGGTGTCAGACGTGATGGGAGGGACGCCCCTGGAGGGCTGCTCCGTCCCATCTTCCTCTCTGCGGAGAGTCTCTGGTGACAGTGCCCTCAGAGGCCCCGACTAGGCAGCCTTTAATTGGTGGGCTCTCACGGCAGCAGCTCTCTTTCTGGATTTTTTTAGAGTATTCAGCAAGGGTGACAGTCACAGAAAAGGAGCCCAAAGCGTCCTTGGCCATCATCAGGGAAGGGGGGCAGTGAAGGTGGTCAGCAATTTGCTTGAACAAGGTGGGAGGGAAGATTGGGAATGTGCCGCCCATTTCTGGTGATCCAGAAAGTAGACAAGAGAGAGAGGACAGTGTCCGGCAGAGCCCCTCCCGGCCTGGGGTGAGGAACAGGTGCACAGTGCCTTCCAGCCTGGGGCCAGCTGCACCTGCTATTCTTGGGGTCAGTCTCCTCCAGGCAATGCCGCTGCAGGATTCACCAAGGGAATCCCTGGAAATTTCCACCCACTTCCTCTCCCCCAGTGGTAGCCAGTGGCTTTGGCTCTGATAGCGTTTGTGTTGTGTTTGGATTGAGGCTACATCTTGACCTACCTACGATTCTTGGAGACTCAACAATTAGTATCTCAGGAATGGAATTTTTCTAACGTGTCAGATTTTACTGCTTAATGTCTTTTAACTTAAGAAAAAAAAAGCCCTAACTGTTTAGAAGCAGCGATGTCAGTGCTAATGGAAGCCAATGAGAACGGGGGAAGGGCTGGTAAGATAGCTCAGTGCTTAAAGGTGCTCGCTGCCGACCCTGAGACCTGAGTTCAATCCCCAGGACCCACACGGTGGGAGAGAAGCGCTGGCCCTCGTAAGTTGTCCTCTGACCACCATGTGTGAGCTGTGACATCACATGCTTCTCCCCCCAAATAAATAAGAAGCAAAACACATTTTTTAAGAAAGGAAAAGGGGAAACACAATATACCAGACTGGCAAGACTTCCAGAGAGAGCTCTGCTGTCTTCATGTCCTGTTGGGGTGAGGTGAAGGAGCCAGGAAGGCACCCATGAGGGGTTCCGGTGGTTCCAAGGTTTGTCTTTCAGCTGCTTCTCTGGTGACACAGCATGTGTGACTTTTCCTGGGAGACACACTAAGCGCCTTTTCACCCCAGACACAGCAGTTAGACCAGCAAAGCCATCCCTTCTAAGCCCGGCCTGGTGGGCAATGAGTTTACTAGAGTCACTTGCAGAAACATGGGTGAGGGTAGCTCACAGGGGGATGGGGACACTTAGGCAGTGGAAAAGCCCCTCCCAGTTTCTCAAAAGTTCCTGGGAGCTACACTACTGGAGAGTTCCTCCTGCAGCGGACTTTTATTATGTAATCTGGGGGGGGCACACTCCCAAGCCTCCCTCCCTTCACAAAGCGCTCTCTCTTGCTCGCTCTGTGTGTGTGTGTGTGAGAGAGAGAGAGAGACAGACAGACAGACCTTTCTCTTTAACCCTCTTTGTTATTTGAGACAGGTTCTGGGGCTGGAGAGATGGCTCAGAGGTTAAGAGCACTGGCTGCTCTTCCACAGGTCCTGAGTCCAATTCCCAGCAACCACACGGTGGCTCACAACCATCTATAATGAGATCTGGCGCCCTCCTCTGGCCTGCAGGCGTACATGCAGACAATGCTGTAGACATAATAAGTAAATAAAACCTTCTGGTGGACTCCAGGCTAGACTCACACTCTGTATGTAGCTGAGGATGATCTTTAACATCGATCCTTCCGCCTCCGCCTCTGCCTCCACCTCCTCCACGGCACTGGGATCTCAGGTGTGTGTCAGCTACTGTTTCTGGGATGCTGGGGATGGAGCCTGTGACTTCACGTTAGGCAAACACTCTACCATTCCCATCCCAGAGACACTCTGGGTTGAACTTGTCACTGCCCCGCCCCCAAGCCTTCACTCCCGAGTTCCTTTTACCGTGGGAGTTTATCAGAGGAGGTACATGTTCCATCTAGAACCCTCAGCCAGGGCAGTGGGGACGAGCAGCCTGTCAGATTAGAGATGACGGGGCCCCGAGGCTCCCAGGAACTCTGAATGAAGGCTTCCAAGAGAACAGGGGTTGGAACCACGAGTGAGCCTCTGATCTGCCCACGGTGAGTGGGTTCTGCCAGGCAGCAGGAAGGGCATGGTGGTGGGTGGTGTCCCAGCCTAAACCTACCGGTGCGGTGCGGCTTGGAGGATTCTTGCATCCGAGGATACCAGCACTGCTCGAGGGCTCTGCGCATCCCTGACCTAGGGCGTCATCTAGTGTGGCGCCTCCTCCTGTCCGAGAATCTCTCGATTTCTGTTTGGGCGCTGGTCCTTGAGGGTGTGCACTTCGTGGCGATAGGTCCTCTGTCAACAAAACAGGTTATTCAAAGGTTATTCAAACAGCAACTGCAGTCTGAAGTCCCTCTGGGGAGACAAAAGGCACAGCGAGCATTTCCTGGGTCCTTTGTTGAACAATGCCTCAGACTGAGGAGGTGGCTTCACGGGGGTACTTCTGCAGAGCGGAGCAAGCTGGGTGAGCAGGATTCCCAGGGGGAAGGGAGGGTCACCCCAGGCGGTACTACACGTGACCCTCGGCTTCAAGATGCGTGGGCCACCATCAAAAAAAAAAATCCCGTGTGGCTCCCATAGACTTTCTAGATGGGTGATGGGCTCAGTCCTGTGCGTCCCAGACATGGAATGAAATATTAGGGTGCCTGATTCAGGGGCTAGCAGTGGTCGGACCCAAGAGAGGCATGCTGGGAAAATTAGCATTTGTCACTGGGAGGACAGTAGGCTTTACGGAGCCAAGAAGTTGAGGGTAAGCCTCAGGGGGCGGGGCCTCGGAGCTCTTCCCACGGGTGTTTTCTCTTTATCGACCCGTGCTTTCCGGAGGTTGGAACTAGCAACTGGGTAGAGAGAGAAGAGAAGATCTTCCTCACTCCTCTCTCTCCTTCTTTTCAGACATGAAGAAGATGCTCAGGGCCTTGGGACATAGCTCAGTGGATAAAGGGCTTGCTGTGAAACCATGAGTTCAGATCCCAGGAGTCATGTGAAATCCAAGTGGTGTAGCAGCTGTAATCCGGAGCTGAGCAGGCAGGAACAGGTTGTCCTTGGGGACAAGCTGGGTGGCTAGACCAGCTGAGTCGGGGATCTCTGGGGTTCAGCAAGACACCCTGATACCTCAGCGAGGAAAGTGTGTAAGGATTCAGACATTATGCTGGGCTGCCCCTGTCACCTGGCAGAATGCACTCAGGCAGTGCCCTGGTCAGCCCAGGGTTCCTGGTAGCACCAGGTGCAAAGGACCCCCTTAAAAGACAGACCCCACCCACTTACTCTTTCCCGCGGTTCCCCTGGGGCAGACAGGACTTTTCCTGTCTCTCTCTTCTCTTCTGTCCTCTCTCTGTCTCTGCGTCTCTTTTCTCTTTCCTTCCCCCTCCCTCCCCTTTCTAATAAAACTTCTCTCTTAAGCTCTGTCTGTCTGGAGTGTTTGTCCCTCCGCCTCGGTCTCCCTCGCCTGCCAAGGAATCGGCCAATGTCCCCCACATGCTCTATTCCTAACAAGGTGATCACCCTCTGCCCCCCAACACGTATGTGCACATACACGGGCTGCCACACATGCAAACACACCTACAACCCACATGCACACCATATACACATGCCAAAACCGGGGAGGTACTCCAGAAATAGCTTTTTGACTGAATTCATGAAAAGAGAGGGCTGGGAAAGCAGAACTTGGGGCTTCTTGGGCAGCTGAGAATCCTCCTCCAGCAGCAGCGAGGTGTCAGTCTCTTCATCCAGGAGGCAGGTGCGTGGGGAGGCTGGCAGAGCTCTCAGAGCTCCATATTGGGAGGGTTGTCATGGTCGTCGTGGTCGCCGTGGTACCCGCATCCTGGTTGGCACCACTTTTGGGCAGTTGCTATTTTGCGTTCCTGGGGGAGAGGATGATTCTGGAAGAGTCCCTTCAGAAAAAGGATGTTTTCACCCCTTCAAGGTCCAGGGAGGCCACCAGGGAAGGGACGGTGACTCCTCACTGCCCCTCATGACTCCAAGGAAAGTGACTCCTCTGATCGCCAATCTTTCTGGCGGTGTTTTCAATGCATGGCCTGTTGTCACAGGAGTCCTGACCTGGCAGATGTGAGACAACCCTGAAAGGAACACCATCTGTGTGGCTTTCTAAGAGGTGGTGCCTGTAGGAGGTTCACGGGTCTCCACCAATCAGCTCACAGTGGGGACTGATCCTGCTAGGTGCTCCCTCCCAGCATCCCTGTGGGCAGCCCTACCCAGGGTGTAGAAGCTCTCCTATTGATCAGCCCTTTGAGAGCCTGAGAGCCCCTGAGAGCTTGAGAGCCCCTAAAGCTCTGCAGTTAAGGTGGACTGAGCTTCATCTCTGCATTTAAGGTGGACTGAGCTTCATCTCTGCAGTTAAGGTGGACTGAGCTTCATCTCTGCAGTTAAGGTGGACTGAGCTTCAGCTCTGCATTTAAGGTGGACTGTGCTTTAGCAGGGTTGGGTGGGCCTCAGGGCCTGCAGGCTTGCCAGGTGAAGCTCTGCTGGGCCAGGAACGAGGCTGTAGGTGCTTGTGAAGGTAACGGATGAACAAATATGTAGAGAACAGGGCACCAGCTGCATTTATACCCCGTGTCTCATCTGCCTATGACTCTTTCATCTAGGAACACTCTTACCTGTCTGCCCCAGGGACTCACAGCCTAGAATTTACAGCCAGCTGTCTTCAGGACATGCTGAGCTGTGTCCGTGCCCACAAGATCTAGTTTCAGAGAAGCAGCTGCCTGCCCCTAGGTTCCCCCTCCCCAAACCCGGGCCGCTGGAACTCGAGGGTAGCATTTGATGAGAACATGGCAGGGCCAACACACACCTGGGCATCTGCCCCGTCCTTCAAGCTCCGTCAACCACGCCCATCTTCTCATTGATCCAAATGAAAGACAAGCCTCCCCGGATCCTGGAGCAACAATTCCTGCTTCCTGACTGACCCATCCCAGGCTGGCTCTGCCCAACCTCCCCAAAGAGATGGTATGGGGGGGTCAACCTAAATGGTTGCCGCCCCCATCAACTCTGTGCCCAGCAGACTGCCGCTGTCCGCCCAGCATTCCCAGTGTTGAACCAGGCTGGAGAGGGGGCAGGAGGGTGCTGAGCCCATGGGCTGTGGCCCTCCTCCTCCCAGCACAAGAACTGCTCAGACTCCTAGCATCGGGGTCCAATGTGTAGAGCAGATGCAGTCGTGAACTAAGAGGGCATCCCCCTGTTTTCCATGGCTTCTCTTCGCACACAAAATGCCACAGGAATAAACTACTACTAAGGGCAGGGACATCTGCATGCCACACTTTAGACTGTGGCTTCCTCAGACCCAGAAAGTTCTTCCCTCCCTTCAAGGACTCTGATCCCCTCTGCACATGGCTGGTAACCTTGAGGGAAGTCAACAAACTCAACCCATGCCCCCCTCAAGCACTGTCTGTGTGTCTGAGAACACAGAGGATGATAAAATCTGTGGCCCCTGCTCCCTCGGAACATGGTGAACAAGGAGACGGGTTATAGTAAGAGCTGACCGTCACTGGCTGTTTGTGTAAGAAGGAAAGATAGGATATGGAATCCAAACTCGTGAGTATCAGCATTGCCTTCCAAACAGGACAGCCAGAATTCAGATCTGTGAAGGGTAAGGTACATACTCAATGGTGAATACGGAAGCTAAAATGGACTGTGTTGGCAGCAGTGGGGCGTCTAGTGCCTCAGACGCCGGGCCGCTCTGCTCTTTTCTGGTGAATGCCACTCCAGTTAACATCTAAGATGCCAGAACGGATCAGTCGTGCTCAGTTCCTCCCACTGACTCATTCAAGAGAAAGGCCGAGAGCCTAAGTGGGTGGCGACACTCAGAGTCCTCAAACCTGCTTAGCCGGTGGCTGTCTTTATTGACAACACAGACTCTGTCTGGAGAGATGACTCAGAGGTTACCAGCACCTCCACCACTGTTCTTGCAGAGGACTCCAGGTTGGATCCCAGCACACACATGGTGACTCACAACCACCTGGAACAGTTCCAGGGATCTGACGCCCTCTTTTGGCATGCATGTGGCATGCATATATCACACCACATGAATATATGTATGTATATACATACATAAATATATATATGTATGTAAAACAAACTCAGACAGCAAAAATAGACTTTTAAAAAAATGGAAAGAAAAGAATTCCAAGTAGAATAAAGGGAGATAAGGAGGTTGCCCTTGGGAAGTCACATGCCCTTCCCCTGGGTGACATTCCAAGCAACACTGGCTCCTTTCTCCACAGGGGACCACACTGATGACATTTCATGGCAGTTTCTTGAGTGTCCTGCCTTTGCCCCCAGAGAGAAGGGCCCACTGGCTACCATGCCAGAGCCTCCACATATCAAATATTATATAAGTAGACACCCGATTAATTTTACCAAGCTTCCCATCTACGGATATTAACGGAGGACGGTCTTCCTGTAGCCAGGGGCCAATTTCCCTGGGGAGGTGACAGCAATGTGGTGGTTTGAGTGAGATTGTCTCTTGTATTCGAATGCTGAGGAGTCATGAGGGAGTAACACTGTTTGAAAGGATTATAAAGGTTAGGAGGTGTGGCCTTGCCGGAGTGGGCGTGGCCTTGCTGGAGGATGTGTGTCTGTCACTGGGTGTGGGCTCTGAGGTTTCAAAAGCCCATTCCAGGCCACCCCTCTCTCTCTCTGCCTGCAGATCAGGATGTAGCTCTCAGCTAGTCCTCCAGTATCCTGTCTTCCCGCCTGCTGCCATGCTCTCTGAGGAGATGATAATGGATTAAGCCTTTGAAACTGTAAGTGAGCTCCCAATTAAATGCTTTATTTTATGAGTTGAGTTGAAAACAACAACAACAACAAAAGAGCATCTACCTAGGATTTAAGTCTGGCGGTGGTGGCCACGCCTTTAATCCTAGCACTTGGGAGACAGAGCTAGGCGGATTTCTGAGTTTGGGGTCAGCCTGATCTACAGAGTGAGTTCCAGGACAGCCAGGGCTACATGGAGAAAGCCTGTCTCAAAAACAAACAAACAAACAAAAAAAGTTGAGTTGGTCACAGTGTCTCTTTGCAGTAATACAACAATGACTAAGACAAACCGTTACAAAAGCAAGCATGTTCACAGGAGTTTACACAGGTGTTGATCCTTCTGGAAGCAGACAGTTAGACAAGGGTTCTAGCTGGGAGGCAAGCCCAGGATTCAGAGTGGGTGGGGTTAAGGACGTGAGACAGAAGGAGAGGCAGCTCCTTTTGGCTTCTAGAACTAAGTTCTGCGGGGACTTTCTGGAGAACCAATCGTTCAGCCCTGTCCAGCCTGTGGCCAGCCAAGGATGGCTATGAGAGCAGCCCATGACAAAATGGTGAACCTGAAGCATTATCTGTCTGTTTACATGATAGGTGAGCCTCATAGATGACAGTTTTGTAGCAATGTCCAAAGGTTCGACCGTACTGTAGCTTTGTGTCAACTCTGGCACAAGAAAGACAAGATGCTCACCCACCAATTCCCAAACACTTTTTACCCTGGTGTCTTTGAATATTTATTTATTTATCAGTGTGTGCATGTGTGTGTATGCATGTGTATGTGTGTGTATGTGTATGTGTGTGTATGTGTATGTGCGTGTGTGTGTGTGCAAGTGTGTGCATGTGTATGTGTGTATATGTGTATGTGTGTGTGCAAGTGTATGTGTGTGCATGTGTGCGTGTGCATGTGTGTGTGCGCAAGTGTATGTGTGTATGCGTGCGTGCGTGTGTGTGTGTGTGTGTGTGTGCATGTGGCCAAGGTCAACATGGTTTGTCTTCCTGCGTCACTCTCCACTTCATTCTTTTAGACAGAGTCTTACAAAAGATTTAGCAGAGCAGGTGTATCCTGGGTGCCTCCTGACTCCACCACCCCAGCACTGGGTCACAGACAGACACGAGCTGCTGCTCCTGGCTTTTTACACTGGCGCTAGGGACCCTAGGCTTACGTCCAGCCCATATTGTATTTATTTATCATGTGCTTGTTCACATGTGGTGTATGTACATGTGTGTTCATGTGTGCAATCCTGGTAATATTGGTTCCTTAGCACTGCTGGAGCCTCTATGTAAGAGCTGTGCACACGCGCCTATGACCCAAGAGAAGCCTAAGGCAGAGGGTTCACAGACACAGAGTAGGAATCCCTCGCTGAAGGACAGAGGCTGGATGGAATTGCAAAGCACCCGGTTCAGCTCAAAATTCCATGTTTGCCCAAACATGGCTGTGGGCGAGTTCCTCCTGTCCCTGAGGAGAGCCCTCTGGCCCAGCCTCTTCTTGAAGCAGCACAGAGATAAGAATCCCAGTCTCCCTCCAGTATTGGCCGCTGTCCTGTCAAAAACCTATTATTATAGTCTCTGTCATCTCATGGAGATGCTGTCTTCTGGTCCAGCACAATGTGGTGCCTTTTACTCCTTGAAGATCAAAGCCAAGTCCTTTGAAGTAGCTAATGGCTTCAGAGAGATGACTTTAAAAATGTTACAACCTAAATATGAATCCCAAGAGCAGCGTTCTGCATCCCTGTTCCTCCCGTCACCCCGTGCGCATGGAGGGTGGGGATGTCTTTATGATGACTCGGTGAGATACGGTGTTTGAGCAGCTGCTTTATGGCCCTCCATCCTTTAAAGCAGTTTTGAATAATGCAGTTAATCCTAAAATGTTATTAAAACATCAGATTAGCCTCTGTGATACTCCAAGGTGACCCGGCCAGTTGTTGCAGAAAATTCCAGATGCAAAAAAAAAGTTTGCCACCAGGCCATGTGGCATCGTTCTCCCCTCTTTTCTCTAGGAAGTGCTGTTTATGTATTTATTTACCTATGCCTTGCCCAGTTATTTAAAAATGTAGTAATTTACGCTAACATGAACACAAGTTCATATAATGTCAGAGAGAGAAGGCCGTGGGAGGAGCAAAGGAAAAGGCCAGGGAGGCCAGAATGAGGCCAAACCCAAGTGAGGCTCGGAGGCCCCGTCCAACCGATGACAATTACAGGTGCAGACGCAGCCGTGTCAGGGCCAGTGGGAAGAGCACACCACAGCCACCCAGGACAACCACAGGCGTCACACAGAAAACGTCAGGCAAAATGACGAGATGAGGTTTGACAATGGTCTAACCTTGGGAACCCCAAGTCATGCAAAGTCAGGCCAAACCGGCCATGCGGTTTGTACAGAGAGCTGTAATGCATAGAAAGCAAAAGGACATATTTGCGTGTTCAACATGCGTGCGTGTGCGTGTGTGTGTCACACCACCCCTGTGCATCCGCTTGATCAAATCCCCAACAAAAGCGGTGTATGGATGCAATGGTTTATTTTGGCTCACAGTTTGGGGGTGCAGTACATTGTGATAGGGATCATAGTGCTGAGAATATGATGTGTCTGGTCACACTGCACCTCAGTCAGAAAGCAGGGGGTGATGGACACTGGTGTTCTCAGCTAACTTTTCCTCTTCCCCCTTTAAAAGTGTGTGTGTGTGTGTGTGTGTGCGTGTGTGTGGTATAAAGGTACAAGATAAGGGGTAAAGATAACAATCACAAATTAAGGACAGGAACAACCTATAGAGGGAGAAGAGACAGCAGGGAGGTTCCCAGGGAGGCTCCGTCCATATCAGTAACGCTGTGTTGGGTTTCAGACAGGACCTTTCTGTGAGTCAGAGTGCAAATTATCCTGACTGCCAAAGAGGCAAGAATGATGCGGTAAGACCGTTATGTAGGTTACCAGTGTTTTCCGGGGGGAGATGAGGGTGAACTAAAATGAAAGTAGTGTGGTGATCAGGAAAGGTGCCATAACTGATGTGCGGGTTTGAAGGGAAAGAGGAGGAGAAACAGCAGGAGCTACAGGATGACTCCATGAGGAAGTGCCAGGAGAGGCGTTAGAGGGGAGGGTGGGGCAGTGTGGGAGGCTGTGGCGACTCAGGAAGACCGAGCTATCTGGGAGACAAGCAAATGAGGACGCTGAGTAGCCTTTGTCCTCTGCCTCTCCAACGCTGTAGTCACCGGGAAGAGGGAGTTGGGGAGCGTTCTGTCTCCCGTGACCACACCGTGTGTGAAGAGGTCAGAGGTCAGTCTGCCAGCACAGGCACTGTCTTGGGTGACTGCTGACAAGCAGGGGGCCGGGCTGCCAGGATGCTCAGTTGCTGCAGAGAAGGGGCGCGTGTCTGTCTCCTGACCGTTTTGCACCAACAACGTATCCAGGTATCACTTGTGTAATGTAACGTAACTACAGACATAAAATGAGATTTTCAAGCGGAGAGCAGAGATTTCCCACAAGACGGCCCTTTGAAGACCCACGCCAGATGCAAGCTTCTGTGACCTTACCGCTGTCACGGCGCCTTCCGGGCCAGACGGTTACGGACGGAGCAGGCAGCTGTCTGTGTTAACATTCCGTCCCCTGGCCTTGCCAGAGCAAATTGCTACTTTTCCAGCTCTGCCTGAGAGCAGGAGGCACTGGTGCCTTGGCCTGGGTTCACTCCACCGCCACCCTGTTTTCTCGGTCATTGTTCCCATTTGGCTCTTTAAACTCCACGGGGTTGAGCAAGCATGTCTGTGTCCAGACTCAGGGCTGCTGTCTGGTAAAGTGTGAACTTCCTCTCTGACTGCAAAACAAAACCCTGTTTGCTGTTTTGCCTAGCACAGGGCTAAAGGAGGAGCGGCTGGAATGACAGGTCCCTCGGGGAATGGAGGAGGTAGGTTCGGAGTTTTTGCAGGCAGGGCCACAGCTGTCACTCTGTTACACTCACATCCATCGCCGACAGTCCACTCCTTTGTTAGCGCCTAGTTCTCTCTGGTTAGGTGACCTGTGAGCAGGACTCCCGGGTTCACTCCCTGTTGCCTTGTGACTTGGAGATTTGAGTACAGATAGGCCCCCCTCCCCTGCCCGCCCCCATGCACGTGTGTGTGTGTGTGTGTGTGTGTGTGTGTGTGTGTGTGTGTTAGGGACCATCCTAACCAACTGTGGAAACCCCACCGAAAGTGGCGGAGAAGAAGTAAGACAAGCAGGAGGGAGATTAGGTTTGGGTGACCACCTGTCTTGGTAATGAGTGTATATATTGAAATGAAAGCAGAAAAGAAGAAGCCAATCTTTCATTATGTGTCACAACCGTCCCTTACATTAACTTTTTAGGTCCGTGTACACAGCCACGGCCCCACTACGGCCCCTCTGTGGGCATGTGCGCTGTGATTTGGTCTCACTTACTTCCCTCCCCACCCTACCCTTTCCCCTCTCCAGCTCACTCACCCTCTCTCCACACTCAGTCCCAACAACCCTTTCATCCTGTGTGTGTCTTGTCACCTTTGCTGTGTCCCACCTCCTCCAAGACCTCTCCCTCACATCACGTGGTCTCCTTGCTGGTTCTGTGGCCTACAGGCACATCACACACACACACACACACACACACACACACACACACACACACACACACACACACACACACACAGAGGCTAGTGATATGACCCAGTGGGGATAGGTGATTGCCATCATGCCTGAATTTGACCAGAATCCCCAAAGCCGAAGGAGAGCGCTGACGCCTGCAAGTGGTCCTCTGACCTCCACAGGTGCTCTGTTGTGTACAAACACAAATGATATGATCTTTAAAAAATGCATACATAGAGGAATTCAGTGAATGTAAATTTTTTAAAAATGCACACATGTAATTTTAATTTAGGTTCCACATGTGAGAGAAAACAGGTGGTGTTTGTCCTTCCAAGTCTGTCTTATGTCACCTAACACAATGATTTTGTATCTCTTTGCGTACAAATGTCATGATTTTGTTTTTCCTCTTGATGGCAATATAAAACTTCATTGTGTGAATGTACTGAATTTCCCTTATCCACTCATCTGTTGAAGAACAACACTTCTGAAGATGTTTTCACTTGGGGCACCGAGCAGGTGACAGTGTCCCTGGCCCATTTCAAGAGGGAAGGGGATGTTGGGACAGATCTGGATAGAACAATAAAGCCTGAGGGATGACCTGACATCTGTGGAAGCCACTGAGGTGAACAAAGAGGCCCTGGCCATATAGCTCCTGAGTGTGGGGAGAAACTGAGGCACCAGTGGGGTCTTTAAGTTAAGGTAAAGCAGAGATTCTTGGGGACAGGGCATGGATCAAGAGAGGAGAGAGTTAAGAACAAAGCCTCAGGAACACAATGCCTGGAAAGTGGCCACAGGGAGGAGTGGCCACTAGTGTCTGAGACAGCTGTGACACTGAGCAGATAAGCCAGGAAGAGTCCTTGTAGGAGTCTACTGAGGTCACTGATGATGTCATTGGAGCTCCTGTTGTCAGGACTGAATGCCAGGGAGGGAAGCAGGAGACGGAGGTCAGAGAGCGCAGGGAGTGATGTCGCAAACCTGATGAAATAAACGTAAGTGGCATTGGGTGGAGCTGGCCCAGGGTCTGGGAAGTGCTATTCTTTCAGGAAGGGCATGTCCCACCTGTGCCTTTGGGCCACAAATACCCCAGGGATAGCTATGACTCAACACGGCATGCTGGTGGCCCGACAGTGTCATGTGGGAAGATCGGAAGGTTGGACACCTCTCCTTGAAATAGTTATCAGACTCAGGCCATAACACGACCTTCGCAGGGCTGCGAGGACTGAACTAGGGTGTGTGGCTTAAAAGTGCCTGGTAAAATGCTGGTACTACAGCAAGTGTGTGACCAACAGCACCTGTGGAGACGTTAGATGGTTGATAACGACAGAACAAGTGTCCGCCGGAGTTGGAAGACCGAGCACAGACAGGAATGAACGATCGGCCCAGGGAAGCGGGGAGGAAAAGGACTCAGGGCGTAGGTGGGTGGGGTAGCGGTATAAAGACAGTGTGCTTCCATCAGCGAGCGCCAGGCCCCTGCCAACGATGAGGGATACCAAAGCGCACAGACACCTGCCACCAAGCCTGATGTTCTAAGTTTGAACCCTGGGTTGGAATTGTCCTCTGCCCTCCACACATGTACTGTGACATGTACACACACACACACACACATACACACACACACACACACACACACACACACACACACACTAAATAAAATGTAAAAGAAAATGCTTTCTACCTTCAAGGAGCTCCTAGCAAGAGACAGAGCCATCCCTGTGCAGGAGTGTGGAGGCAGATCAGGGTTGTACGGTAACGCAGGAGGGATCCTAACCCTTGGCTGGTCATGAGGAGGAGACCCAGGGGCGACTTCCTGGGAAAGCTGGTGTCTAGCGTTAGGCCTGGTTTTCCTAGACGGGAGACAGGTGATGAAGGAAGGGGGAGGAGCCAGTACACATAAGGCCTTCAGTAAAGGGAGGAACAGTGGGGGAACTCGTGCTGGGGACTTCTGTGATGTAGAGAGATCGTGCATATCTGGGTCAGCTGTGCTGGAAAAGTAGAAAGAACTGAACACAATGCTCATGCTGATGTCCTATGGGCACAGGCAGGATTGCTGTGAGACCCTCACAAGCCAGCAGAAGACTGGAGACAGCAGACAGGCTCTTCAGGCTGCAGGCTGTGGAGTTGGGCATGCTGTCCAGGGGGAGAATTAATGCCCCCCTTGATGGGGATGTCCCTCTATATCTATGTTTCTCTTATTGGTTGATGAATAAAACACTGATTGGCCAATAGCCAGGCAGGAAGCATAGGCGGGCCTACCAGACAAGGAGAATGCTGGATTGAGAGGAAGGAGAGAGAGGCCACCAGGAACAGATGCCATGTAGCCGCCAAAGGAGTAACAGGTTCGGGCATTCTTCAGTAAGCCAAGATCATGTGAAAATACATAGATTAATAGTTATGGGTTAATAATTAAGACAGAGCTGGCCAATAAGAAGCCCTAGACATTGGCCAGCAGTTTAATAATTAATATGTAACTGTGTTTATTTGGGGCAAAGTGGTTGTGGGACCAGTCGGGACATAAACCCCCACTTCCACCCCCTGAAGATGGGGTAAAAGTAAAACTGCGATGAGGGTTCGTTGTTGGGGTCCTCAACCAGGAAGAACAGAATACAGGGTGTATTGGGGACATCAGAGATCAGGGAGCCTAGATGGATGAGAGGCTTCTCAGGAGGCAGAGAGAGTCAACAGTGGCTCTGGGATGGTGCCAGCATCCATCAGGAGCCAGGAGTGGAGGGCCACAGGGACGGAGCAGACCAGGAGCAAAACGTATTGGAGGATTACCCAGGAGGCCAGATACGGGTGGAGAAGGGAGAAGCAGTCCCCACCATTTGTGTGAGTGTGTATGTGTGTGTGTACGTGTGTGTGAGTGTGTGTGTGTGTGTGTGTGTGGTGTTCATGTGTGTGCATCCAAAGGCCATAGGACGATGTTTGTCTGAGGGTCACTAATGCCGTGACAAATCACCATGACCAAAGCAACTCAGGGAGGAAAGGGCCTATTTGATTTATGCTCCCACATCTCTGCTCATCATGGTCGAAGGGAGTCGGGACAGGAGCTCAAACAAGGCAGGAACCTGGAGGCAGGAGCTGATGCAGAAGTCGTGGAGGGAGCTGCTTACTGGCTTGCTTCCTATGGTGTGCTTAACCTGGTTTCTTATAGAACCCAGGACCACCAGCCCGGGATTGGATCCACCCACCCACAATGGGAGAGGCCCTCCCCCATCAATGACTAATTAAGAGAATGCCCTGCAGGCCTGCCTGAAGTCGAATGAGGCATTTTTTGCAATTGAGGATACCTCCTCTCTGACCATGCTAGCTTGTGTCAAGTTGATGTGAATCTAGCCAGCACAATGTTCCTTAGGTGACATCCATGGTCTTTTTTGTTTTGTTTTGTTTTGCTTGTTTGTTTTGAGACAGAATCTTCACTGTCCATAACCCACCAATGAGGCTAGGCTGGTTGAACAGCAAGCCTTGGGGGACCATCTGGTCTACCTCCTCAGTGCTAGGATTTAAGCGCAATCACCACACTTGACTTTTTTTTTTTTAAGTGTATTCCGGAGATCAAACTCAGGTCCTCTTGCTTTCATGGCAAGCACTTTGCTGACTGAGCCATCTCCCCATTCCTCCACCACCATTCTACAAATGTGGAGATGGGACCAGAGTTGGTGCAGGACAGCTAAGGGGCCAGAGGGTTAGGCATGCTTTGTTTAATCACTAGGGACCCTGTCCTGGATTTATCACTGTTGTCTCCCACACTTCCTGAGGGGCTGCAGGAGATTTGTGCTGACTTTTCTTTTTAATTTAAAAAAAATACAGCCTATGAGCAGGAAGGGTGACCTGTTTTCTTGCATGTCCAAATTGCATCCTCATGTTCTCACTCAGGCTGTGGCTCTGTTGCCAAGTGGGCACAGATTCACCACCTCACCGAGGTTCCATGACTGTTTCATACCCAGAGGCTTTTGCTAGCATCACCTAGTCAAGTTCATAGGCAACTAGCAAACTACATGGGAAATGTGGCCGGTATCTGCAGGGTTTCCCACCCAGGATAGGTATCTGCAGGGCTTCCCACCCAGGCTTGTGGGCAGCTGCAGGGACACAGGGCAGGGTTTCCCACCCACGCTTGTGGGCTGCAGGGACACAGGGCAGGACTTCCCACTTGGGGTTGTGAGTATTTAAGAGGCTTCTGGTACTCAAACGAAAGGTATACCTCTCTCATTTCTCTCACTGCCTGGCCCAATTGGAAATACATTCAAGGCATGAACCTTGTCAAAGCAGAGCTAGGCAAGCAAAGAACCTTCAGGAAAAGCCACTTTTCTGCCATGCTCCTTGGGAGAGCCAAGGACAGGACGCTGGCCTTCATTTGAATTCATAAAGGAAGCTATTCATCAGAAGCTTGAAAGACACATCCCTGAACTCCTAATGAGCATCTAATTTTGAGATGGGGGACAATGACCACATCAAAGGAAGAGAGGGCTGCGAGAACTCCTGCTGGCAGAGGCCCAAAGACAGTGCCACTCTACCTCAAAAGAAGACACAGCCCCCTGCCCCCCACCCCAGGCAGAGCTCTCTTTAGATGGGCCTGCCTAGCTTCTTGGTCTTCCTCTTCGGCCTGGGTTTCCAAGGAAACAGAGTCCCTCACCAGTCAAGCATCGACTGGAGGGCTGTGCTTCCCTGAAGTAACCCAAAGCATGGAAGAGAAAGTAACCACAGGCCAATGGGATGGTTACCTAGGGCATCAGAGGCCTTGTAGATAGGGCCTTGTGTGCCTGTGAAGATGCTGTCCAAAGACCGATGACCAGACAAGGACTGGTGATTTGTTAAAGGCGTGTGCATGAGGATAGAGAAAAATGAAAGAGGACTTGAAATCCTAGGCTAGCTTGGCCCTCCTAGGGGACCACATGTTGAAACATGTGAGCTAGTGAGGGGTCCTGATGCCCAAGTATGATTGTCCCCGGAATCTCTCTGCATAAACTCTACATTTGCCTCTTTAGCTGGTTAAAAGGCAGGTAGACAAAGGCCTAGGTGATGCCAGGGTAACAGGGTCTTCTGAGAACGCAGTCATGGATATCAAGAACTGAAACATGGCGGAACAGAGTGAGAGGCCCAGCAGAGGAAGGCTGTGACCTGAAGGACAGAGAACCCTCATCCACCCAGACCTCCAGGGTATAGGAAGCTCAGAGCTAACATGGCCTTTGGAAGTGCCTGCTGCATTGGGTAGAAATAGGTAGACATCCGTTTGCCAACCGCCTCCAATATTTGACTAGGGGACTCCCAGGAAAAGTACTGTTGCAACTAGAACAAGGTAGTGACTTCAAAAAGCCCCGAAGCAAGAGATGTCAGCTTCTTATACTTCTGCGGCTGTGGTGTGTGTGTGTGTGTGTATGCATATTGGCATATTGCCCCTTGAGTGTGGTTTGCCTAGTGCATGTGAATTCATAATGAGAATCTTTGCAGTCAGAATTCCTTATCATATGCGTCCTAGGGAAGGAAGAAACTGAGGTCTACAAGTGTGATGAGAGTCACACTCCGTCATGACAGGAAGAGGGAAACAAGCTGCATGTCCTCCGGGAAGGGATTGACGGTGACCACACTACTCATAAAGCAAAGAGGGAAGCAGTAGCCACACCCACTGGGAAGAGAACGGCCAATCCATCGTAACAACTCCATTCTGCGAGTAGGAGCGCACTTCACTAAGAAAAACATGCATGTCACATAAAGGGATCCTGAGACCCAGGAGCCAGCCATGGCCACATGCCACTCAGCCATCAGAAGTGCAGGGAGCTGGTGTCCCTTGCTTTAGAGCTTTGTGATATCACTATTCTGTCCCACTTTGTGGCTGTGTTCTTCCTGGGAGTTCCCAGTCAAAGGCTGAAGGTGGCTGGCATACGAACATCTAGCGATTTCTTCCCAAGGAGGCAAGCACTCCTACATAAGGCCAGGTTGACTCTGGACTCCACCAGGCTGTGGGCAATCTGTGTGATACTTTTCTCACACAATCCTCCTCTCATGGATGTCATTTAGTTAACCTCTCTCTCTCTCTCTCTCTCTCTCTCTCTCTCTCTCTCTCTCTCTCTCTCTCTCTCTCTGCCTCTCTCCTCTGTCTCTGACTCTGTGTCTCTGTCTCTGTCTTCTTCCCAGAGGTGAGCAAACCAACACTCAATGATGACTGAAAATAGCAAGGCACAGGTAACACAGACACTATGATGCCTTTATGCAAATCACAAAACAGACACCAACATGAAGTTTTTAGGGTAGAGAAAGGAAAAGAAAAACTTAAGTGAGGTACAGGGTGGAGGAGAGGTAAAGAAGGGAAGGGGGAGGGGGACAGAGGAGGAGAAAAAGGGGAGGTGATGAGCTCACCAATCTAGGGAACACTTGTTCCCCCCACACACTTATATGCACGGTAGGAATGTGTTGGAAGTTCTGGAAAAGCCCTCCGGTGGACACAGCTATTTCCCAAGCAGGGAAGGCTCTGCAATGGCATGCATGGGACTGTAATTCTTTGCTTCTATTCCATCTTCATAAGGAGAATGCAATTGGGTGTTGCTTATATCACTAAGAATTTTAAAACCACACACCTGTTACTAGAAATCCAGGTCTCCTGGACCATGACTGAGTTGATGCCAAGACGATCCCAGAGTCTCTGCTTGAGTTGTGTTCAAGAAGAATCTGCCAGCCAGTCTGCTCTCATCCCCTGCTTCCGTTGGACTTGACAGCCGCAACTTGATTCCTCAGGAAGGTGTCCAGAAAGGTCTATGGTGTGTTTTAAATTGCTCTACTAGTCCCCTGACCACACAGGGCAGAGCCGCTATAACTCCCCAGCAAAGAACCCTCAGCACTTGTAAATCTCCCCACCCACAGGAGTGCGCCCAGACTGCTTCTGGGTGATGCTAAATCTACAGTCGTGCAGGAGAAAGCAGCACTGGTCGTGGCTATGGCCGCTTTCCCTCTGAAGTTCTCAGGGTCTGCTGCTCCTCCTTCCCGCTCTTGCCCCCTTCCTTCCTCCCTGTCTCTTCCTTCCTCTCCCTCTCCTTGACTCCCAACCTCTTCGTCCCCTCCCTCAGCGTCCCTCCCCAATACTCAAGGGGAGGCTCGGTAGAAGGGGAGCCCCAGGCACAGCTGCACGAGGCTAGATGCTCCCTCTTTGGGCTGCTGGCTAGTTTCTCTTCTGCGGTTTCGCACTGGCCCTGGGAGGTTGATGTCGGGGTCTGCCGTCTTGATTGATCTGAACACCTTTCCGTAGTACGCACGCGCGCACACACACACACACACACACACACACACACACACACACAGAGGTGTGCTATGTCAACAAAAAATGACACCTGAGGCCAAGAGAGATAAACTGTCCGTGTATAAGGAGCTAAAAGTCTGAGTTATGGCTTTGGTGGCTCAGCAAAGGGCGGCGGGTTCAGGGGCTGCCAGGGAGAGTGAGGACGTGTGAGAGCTCATCTTAGAAGACAAGTCAGAGACAGAAGTTCTCAGAGGTCCCAGCATGGCCACCTTTGAAACTACATTAGCCTCCCAGGGTAGGCATCCTCTTCCAGGTACTGAGCATGATCCTCACTCACCAAACACAATGGCTTCACAGGAGGGAGCCATCACCTCCATTAAGCCTATCAGGATGAGACACCCGCCTATGACCACTGCCAGGGCTCTGGTGGCACAAGGTTCGGTGGGAATCATGTGTTCTCAACACCAAGCACTCAACACTTGTGCCATGAGCAGCATGCTCCAGCCAGATCTTCGTGGACACCCATCCCAGAAATGAGCTGTGAGAGGGAACGAAAGGATTGAGGGCAGACGTCAATCACAGCAAACTCAGTCGGCATCTGTTTTGTGACTGGCTGAGGAAGTGGGGGGTGGGAGGGTGGCAGATGTCCATGGAGCACCTTGGGTGATAAGGGCGTTTTGGTTCTGTACTTCTTTTTCTTTTCCTAATTAATAAAAATTCGCATTTCCTTTGCTCCGGTTTCCTGTCCCGGGTTCCCACCCGGAATATGTTTTGTCTCCTCGGGTTCCTCTCGACTGTGACAGTTTCTCAGACTTTCCTTGTTTCTGACTCCCAGAAGCTGGGAATTCTTGCAGCTCCCGCAGACACCTCTGAGCTGCACAGGGAGAGAACGGCTGCGGTGTTGAGGACAGAGGTTTCGGAGTCATTCACTCGGGTCGACAAGATGGCTCGTTGTTGGGCAAGGGTGCTTTGCCGGCAAGTCGGATGACCTGAGCTTGCTTCTTTGAACATAGTGGAAGGAGAAGGTCAACACGTGCGGGTTGTCCTCCAGCCTGATGTGCTGCACGCACGCCTGTCCGTGTACCAGCCACACGGATAAACGGTGCTTACATCCATTCATTCTCCAGCCACCAAAGCACTCTTGGTAGGAGTCACGGGGGGGAGGGGACCCAGGCCAGTCTGAAGGCCACGGCGCTGCTGCTGCTGCTGCTGCTGTTGTACTGAGCCACTCGGGTGCTCAATGCAAATCTCCTTAGAAATTGTATTACATTTAGTTACTCATTTATGGGGATGGGCACACGTGCCTTTGAGCCCATGTGAAGGTCAGAGGAGAATCTGTCGAGGATCAGTTCTCTCCTTCCACTATAGATGAAGCTCACATGGTAGGCTTGGCTTGATGGCAAGCGTCTTTACCCACTGATCCAGCTCACTGCTGCTCAATTCAATTTCATATACAAAGCACACAGAGGGATAGATTACTTTGGTAGGTCACACTTTGCCGACGTCTTTTTGGTGTGTGTGTTTCATTATATATCTATCGTATTTTTGAGTGTGTGTGTATGTGTGTGTGTGCACGCGCACGTGTGTGTGTGTGTGTGTGTGTTACTATGATGAAACACCATGACGGAAAAAACAAGTTGGGGAGGAAAAGTTTTATTTGGCTTATACGTCCATTATTGAAGGAATTCAGGGCAGGGACTCAAGCAGGGCAGGAACCTGGAGGCAGGAGCTCATGCAGAAGCCATGGAGGAGTGATGATTGCTGGCTTGCTTCCCTACTTTTTTGTAGAACCCAGAACCAGCACCACCTGTTAAGGGCAGAACCAGCTACAACGGACTTGGCTCTCCTCACTAATCACTAAGAAAATTCCCTCCAGGCCTGCCTGGAGTGCGATCTTACAGAGCCATTTTCCTGAGACTTCCTCCTCTCAGATGACTTTAGCTTGTGTCAAGTTGATATAAAACTCTCCAGCGCAGAGTGCATGTGTGCATATGTGTGCATATGTATGTGTGCATATGTTTGCGTGTTTGCGTGTGTACGCATATGTGTGTGTGCACACACACGCACACACACATGCACACGCACAGGTGCCTTGGAACACTTTTAGAAGCTGGAGAACAGCTGGAAGAAACCGGTCCTGTCCTACCCTGTGACTCTCTTAGATCAAATTCTCTCCAGGCTTGGTGGCAAGCCCCTTCATCCACTGAGCCGCTTCACTGGCTCCTATTTTGCCAAGTGATGCAGATGATTCTGAACTCAACACTTTCTGAGGAAGCCAAAAAGTACAGTGTTCACACTACAAGGTTTGGGACTGAGCTTGTCTTTGGGGACAACATCTTCTAATCTTGGTAGGCCTGGGAGGTTTGGTAATAGTCCCCCTGGCCTTGCAACATTGGCGCTTCACTGGCCTGGGTCTGGGGGCCTCAGGAGTTCCCTTCTGTCAACAAAATAACTCCCAGGTGGCAGCCAGGTGACTATGGAGAGGACATGGAGACTCAAAGAGAACAAAGATAAGGGTTGAGATTTGACAGGCAGCAAAGAGTGAGAGCCACAGGGAATGAGTGCTGTCCCCAGTCGCCCAAGGAAGGGCGTCAGGGTCATCCCTAACGGCCACTCTGTGAGGTGACAGTGCCTCCCTGGGTGGGGTCTATAGTGGCCACAGCACAGGGCATGCTGCCTAGGGCTGGACTCACTCATAGATCAGAGCCACCAGGAGGAGGGCATCCTGGGAAATCTCTGTCTCCACCCTCCCTCCACCCGGTTGTTACATCACTTGCCCCTGCTTGGCTTAATCTTAAATCATCCCTTACCTGACTGGAGGCATCGAACCCTGCCCACAGTTACACGCTAGCAAGAACAGGCTTTTCTTTAGTCTGTCAACAAACCCTGGGTCCTGGTTTCATCCAGCCCTGCCCACAGTTACACACGCAAGAACAGACTTGGGTCCTGACTTCATGGAGTCACTAATATCAAAGTTCGAGCATGTTTCAGAAACACCGATTCAGTTAGATCCCGGCATTCAAATCTCTTTCTGGCTCTTGGCTCCCTCGCCTTTAACTCTAGCTTGCCCTTATTGTCAGCATTTTGGGAGGTTGTGGCCAAGTGAGTTTTCAGAGCAGTGTGCACGGTAACTATAATCAACACCTTGATAGAATGTAGAATCGCCCCGAGCAAGTCTCGATGATAGGTTGTATAGATCAGGTTAGCCCACGTCGTGTAGATCAGGTTGGCCCGTGGACATGTCTGAGGGCAATGGTCTTGGTTCCGTTAACTGGAGTGGGGAGACCTGGCCATTGTGGGCAGCACCATTCCCTGGGTTTGGTCCTGGAGCTGACCCAAGCAGGCAGACAAGCATTCCTTGTCTGCTCGTGACTGCAGGCTGGACCAGCTGCCTTGAGGTCCTGCCTGACTTCCCTGCAGTGACGGACGTGACCTGGGACTGTAAGCAGAACAAGCCTGTCTTCCCTGACACTGTCTTTTGGGATATTATATCACAGCAGCAGAAAGGAAACTCTGGCGGCACGGAAGGGTATGGAGAAAGGCAGTGTTCCTTGACTGACGCTGGGTTCCCAGTGCCGGGCCAGAAGCGTTGATGGGTCTGTGTTGTGTCACAGCTGTGACCAGCCACACACGGCCATTTCCATTTCTACTTTTCACTACAAACTTGGAACACTTAAAATGTAGTCCTTCAACTGCGCCCTCAGCCACACCTCAGGTCCCAGGCAGTCATAACACTGCCAACGAGAACAGAAATTTCCACGGGACAAACCACATGTAGTCTGTCTTTCCTTACTCCCTGCGGTGACAGTCCTTCTAGGTAGTGTGTTAGTTCAAATGCTGGACTACCCCGAACAGAAAATCCCAGCTCAAAATCATGTTTTAATACGTCATATTCCTTCACGGCTGGCACCAGGCATGGTGTGGTGAGCGAGGTCTGAAAACTCCAGACACCCTTTGGTTTCCACGGATGTCGTTCCTGCTATTCCCTGCGCACCAAACCCGTGCGACAGCGAACGGTGACCAGAGGCATTTGGAGCGATGTGTCTCCTCCTCCAATCTCACTGGAGCAAGCAGGTCACAGCCCTTCCCTGGCCCAATTACAGGGTCAGAGACGTCCCTGAACTGCTCAGGATGGATCAAAACCCTCGGTGAAAGGAGCGGCTCAGGAAACCTGAACGTGGGGAGGCAAGGACTTGACTTGCCAGCATGACAGCCGAGGCGAAGCCCCAGAGCCCACGCAGAAAAAGCCCGGCGTGGCAGGAGGCACTTGTAATCCCAGCTCCAGGGAGGCCGAGACAGGCAGATCCCTCACGCTCGAGGGCTTAGCTTGGTGGTCCAGCTCCAGGCCAGTGAGAGACCTTGCCTCAAAAAACACACGGTGGATGGTACCCGGAGAGTGGCAGGTAGGATTGTCCTCTGACCTCCCCATGCACGTGTGCAGGTGTGCACTTGCACAGAAAGTATACACACACACACACACATTTAAAAGAAAAAATCCTTAAAGAAGTCACACTTCTATTGGAAAGGAGAAAGAGGAAGGTGAATGAGACATGATTCCCCGGTACTGTCAACTACAGGGACTTCTACAGTTCCTCATGCCACAAATAAGGAACTGAATCTGGAGTGGGAGGCTCACAGGTAGGATGAGTAAATCACCCCAATCTCACACACACCCAGGGCAGAACAGAGGCCCAGGTGGGGTCTTGTCCACTATGGTCTGTAGCCACACGCTCTCTACCACTCACCCAGAGACACCGGAGTGGTCACCACCTTCGTCCTGGTGGCCCCAGTGAGCTGATTACTAATCAAGTGGCTTCACTCTTATGGATATTCCATGCAAGCCACCTGGCGGTCTGCTGGACAGGGCACACTCTGATGCCTCCCTCCACCCCCCTTTACGTTAAATACATGATTTTTATCCTCGGAGGGGGGGTATCTCAGAGCAGAATTGGCAAGGTTAAACACTATCTATAAAACACATTCGACCAGGGCCATGAAATGAATTACATAATATATCAGTCATCTACCTGGCTCTAAAGAAAAAAAACCCCTGCAAAATGCTTTTCTGTTAGGTATGGGTGAGTATTTTATATTTCCTCCCTTCCCATGAAGGTAAAACGACCTTGATTCTTAGGAAGTGGAGATAGATTGAGCGGGCTGGGATCTACACAGTTCCATTTCACTTAGTCCCCACTAAAATCGCCAAGGATTGAAAATAGAGACTGAATTTATTTTACTATATATTGCCTCATTTGAACTTTAGTAAGGCATTAGCTTCTAAAGAAAACCCTCCCCCTTCATAATCTCTTATTGATGGGATGTTAAGGAAATTGCCTTGGCGTTATTGATTCTGAACTGTGAGGTTCAGCGTGCCGCCGTGTGTTAAACTGAGGAAAGAGCGCGGCATGGACTCGTCGTCTCTACGGGGACGGAATTTGCTGACCGGGCAGTACTCTGGGCCTGCTCAACACGCATGGCTGTTTCCCCCAAAGAACAAATTAATAAAATGTCTGTTGGGCGCAGCAGAGCCTTTGAGCCTCGACCTTGCTTGAAACGAACAAGCGACAGAAGGACCTTGGGAGGGAGCAGGAAGCCAAGGCCTCTCACAACTCCTGCTTCCTAGGATGCAAAGTCCCCCGTGAGAAACTTCACCCCAAGAAGGCAGAGAAAGACTCAGTGGTCAACAGAGTTTTGTTCCCAGCAGCCACGGCTGGCGGCTCACAACTGCCTTC